AGAGAGAGAGAGAGAGAGAATCTTAAGCAGGCTCCACGCTCAGTTCAGAGCCTGACACAGGGCTCGATCCCACAACCCCGGAATCATGACCCAAGCCAAAATCAAGAGTCAGATGTTCAGTCAACTGAGTCACACAGGCACCTCTGTTTTCACTTCTTTAAAACACTTAAGGGATTCAGTGTGCCTTGTGGCAGCAGAAACAATGGAAACAGCACTTGTTTCTGAGAATCTCTAAAACAGCTCAAAGGAAAGAGAAAGAACACACGAATACAAGATGGGACAGTGTTAGGGTGTCTGTGAAAGATGATATCCACTTGGTCTGGTCACTTGGTTATTTTCTGCAAGTGGGTAGCAGAAATGAGATCTGAGCTCCTTAGATGCTCTCCATGGAGCTTTACTTCAAGAGAAAGTAGCTCAGCCATCACAGCAGACCATGGAACCTGAAAATATTATAGAAATGAGTTGTGTCCCTGACCTGCTTTCTGACCTGTAGTACCCAAGTCTGAATTCAGTGGTCTTCTCCACATTCCCAGACCAGGCATGGGTGTTCTTTTCACTAATTTCTGTCATTCCATTTACTATTTATGTAAGTCGCCCCACCTAGACTGTAAACTCCTTGTTAATGTCATAGTTGCTCAGTCCATGGCATGGTGCCTCACATACAGTGAGCATTTGTACTATGTTGTATAAACTGAGTGTTGGAGGAGCCTCTGTGTGTACCAGAGAGGCAGGAAAATTGGTCAGGATTCAATAAGTCACACACAAAGAACAGCTGGAGAAGTAGAAAAGAACAAGAATAATAACAGATTTAAAAAATTAGAAATGACTTATTTATGCTGACCATTCCCAAATGGCAGGGAAAGAGGCACAGGGAGTGAAAGCACCAAAGGTAACCTCACAGATATGAGTTATGCCCATCCTGTGTGTCAGGTTGGGTAAGCTCTCAACGAGAAGAGGATAATATAGAAAGAGAATATGGGAAGAGGAAGGAGAAAAGCAGTTTGGAATATAACATTATGGGAAAGATAAGTACCTATTCTCCTAAAGTTAACCTCATCAAAGGGCTGTGATATCACTGTGAACAGTGACTAAACAATATGCTTAACACACAGCAATACTGCTATACTGCAAAGCCCAAAACATGTGCATTACATATTAAGAACATGAACTGCACCTGAGATCTTCAATTTCTTTGATGTAACTGTGAATCATATTACTAATCTCCTCATTCCCTTCACCTGCAAGATAAAATATGAACTTTAGAATTTCCTTTAAATTAAAAACTTCAACAAAACAGAATAGGAGAAAAGAAAAGTTATGGAAACAAAACAATAATGCTTTAATATACAATTCATACAGCAGATTTCCTACTCTTAATGACATAAGCAGACAATAAAATAATATTATTAAAGCAAAGGGTACATTTTGTTTCTTCAAGAAACAATTTGTATTTGTATTATTTACAAATTAAGTATTTAGCTTAAAATCTCAGACTGTTTATACACAGTTTGATATTTCTACTTTAAATATGCCAAGTAATTAATGACCACAAAGAATATTCCCTGCTCTCCAAGAGTTAATCCCTCATTCATCCCATTTTCCACACATACCTGCTCTGGCAAGAACCTGGTTGGCCTGATCACTAACAAGCTGTGTGATTCTGGTCCTCAATGCATCAACTGTCTCTTGCATGGCTTTAATTCTTACACGCAGGTTATTATTTTCAGTCTGTAGCATAGCATTCTCATGAAACATGTCATTGATGCTTTCCACACCTTCCTCGTCAATTATTCTTTTACCCTAGAAAAGGAAAACACTTCCTGGTTTGTTGAGGGGTCTTAAACATACAAAAGTTTTGTTTAAGCACTTTTACAACGAAGAGCCCTTTTGTTTTAGCAGCCTCAAGGCAAAAGAGACCTTTTTCCCTCTATTACATCCCTCTGTGGTACATTTGTCACTAAGAAAGTGATGAAATAAGAAGGCTTTTGAAACAAGAGGTTGGTCAGGTTGATACACTGAACAATAATAAAGGTCACCCACAAGGAAAACTAAAGAATTTGATCTCCAAAAGGAAGGAAGTCACTATTTTGATAGACAAGAGACTCCAGAGACATATATGTACAAGCCATCACAAAAAGACACCACTGCATTTGCAAAATCTACCACAAAATGCAAAGTCAAACCCATTCACTCACTGTTTTGTACTCCATGAGTTCCATCTGAAGGCGTGTGATCTCACTACGAAGTGCATTGATTTGCTGACTAGCTCTGTCCTGATTGACCATCACCTTGTTCTTGATATTTCTAGCCCGATTGGCGTATTTCAGGGTATTTAAGGTTTCCATAAAATCTCTGTCTGAAGGGCTAACACATGCTATCATGATTGTTTGGCTGGAAGTTAAAAAGAATAATTCAGTTTACAGATAAAAGTAAAATGCTGAAATAAGCATTTTTTTAATATCCTGCCATTTGAATAGTATTTTCTCTTTAGGATACCAAAAGATTGATACTACTACCTTAAAAATAAAAACAAATTTAAAAGCCCTCATGCCTTAAGACTATCTTAAGGAAAAAGATTTTTTACTTAGGTAAAATTGGGGGAAATGAGGTTTTATTATCATTCTTTTACTCAAAATACTTTGAGAAAGTATAAGTGCATATATTTCATACCTCTTTACAAAATATTTCTGAAGCAATACAAACAAATCGTTCTAAAAGTCAACCTACCCATAATATGACAAGTAACATTCAAAAATCATTTATTTCATTACTTACTTGATATTTCAGGATTTTATATTTTTATTCTTTTTTTTTACTTGCAGTGGTTTTTTCAATGTTTATTTATTTATTTTGAGAAAGAGAAGGAGAGAGAGCACAAGTGGAGAAGCAGCAGAGAGAGAGAGAGGGAGAGAGAGAGAAGCCCAAGCAGACTCTGCACTGTCAGCACAGTGCCCTATGTGGGGCTCAATCTCACAAACCATGAGATCAAGAGCTGAGCCAAAATCAAGACTCGGATGCTTAACCAACTGAGCCACCCAGGTGCCCCCATTTTTATTCTTTTTATTTAATCACTGGTATACTGATTTTTATATTAGTAAAGAAATTTACATAAACTACTATCATCTGAACAAGAAGAGTATTTAGTATATCCACATGTTTTACAATATAAAACCTCATTTGTAACTGAGTGGTCAAAGTTCCTTGAGTTTTCAGCTAGATTACACAGAAAAAAAAAATGGAAAAGTGTACTTTATGGTCATGATGAATTACTTTGCCAACCAAATAATACTATAGTGAAATGCTTCGTATGCCCAGCTATTACGTCTGTCAATGAAACAGACATGGCAATTATAATAAACACTTCACTGGAAAATGTATAGGAACTGCAGTTAAGGAATTACTTCACCCACCTGGGTAGGAAATGCATGCCCATCAATTCTAACCTGTAGCCTCTTGGTCTGCTTCCACTCCCACCTTCCCCTATAAATCTCAACATAGCACTCATAGTAAACCTTTTATAACGGGCTCCCTTCCACCTATCTCTTTCCCTTTGTCAATGCTTGTTCATCCTTATTTACTCTTACTATTATTCAAGATTCAACTCGGGTATCATCTAGTCCAAGAATTCAATCCTCAGCCTACTCTCTTTCTTTTCTTCATATCCTTTGTGTATCTCTTTTTTGTTGATTTTATTATTATTTTACTTAAATTTGATAGACCCCAATTCTTAGACCCTAAACTGCTAAAGGATAAGGGTCAAGGTTTGTTGCTCAGTATACATTGTGTAACACTGGAACCTAGTAAGTCATTAGTAATTGTGATGTGTGTCACATATACATAATGTTTACTTATTGGAGGTCAGAAAGTTAAAACAATTTGTGCATCTCTAGCTCTTTCTTTTGGTGAAGAAAATAAGGTAATCAAGCAAGAGTGATGGTTACAGACACTGATTAGAGAACATGACTACTCGAAGTGCAGTCCCAGTTCGGTGCCAGTATGAAAATTATTTGTTACATGTTCACAATACATAAAGAAATTGAGAGTAAACATTTTAGACTTTTACAACATTTGAACTTGCTGTAATCAATTATGGTATATTGAATGGAGTTCAAGTGTGTTTGAACATACATGTTAAGTCATAAATGGGCAAGCTGAGTACAATCATGAACAGTACTAACCCACCACAAATTGAGGAGTGGGATAGAAGAATGTCCCCTTCACAAATATTTTAAGAAGCACTGGGATCAAGTGCTCAAGAAGAACGGTGAAAACCAGTAATGAGAGGGTCTAAGATCTATTATATAAGGAAAAGATCACATATTAAATAAAATCCCAAAGATACAAATTTCAAGAATGGTTGTATTTATGAAAAATTCAAAGAAAACATTAAACTTGTTTATTTTTAAAGTTTATATAAAACCACAACTCTGTTTTAAAGGAAACCATATCACTTGAATAGATTATTATGTTATATATCTTATATATTATTTTATCATGTCATATCATATACATTAGGGAGGAAATACATCACAGTATTAACAGTAGTTACTTATAGGTAATAGAAATATAATTTATTTTCATTTGCTCTTTATATTTTTCTGTATTTTTCAAAATTTTTCCTATAAATTTGTGGTAATGTTATATTAAACATTATAAATTTATGAAAGCCAGCTTTGGTTAAAAAAATAAGTCACTAAATTATACACATAAATAGATGCAACTTATTCCCCAAATACCTTTGATCTAATTTTTCTTTAAAAGTAATTTGTACAGGGACACCTGAGTGGCTTAGTTGATTGACATTCTGACTCTTGATTTCAGCTCAGGTCATGATCTCACTGTTCATGGGATTGGCCCCACATCAGGCTCTGTGCCGAGAGTACAGAGCCTGCTTGGGATTCTCTCTCCACTCCCGACCTATTTCCCTCTCAAAAGAAATAAATAATAAACATTTTTTAAAAAGAGTAATTTGTACAAACTTTACAAAACAAAGTTATTCTGTTCACTAAGCCTTATACAAAATATAATGCTTTTACTAGAAGTTCAACCTCAAAAATTTAAGCAGGAATTGAGGCTCACTAAGGATAACTTAGAAGGGGTCTTTTCTACTGGAGTAGCACTCAGTATGGAAATGGGTGGGGGATATCTGAGACTGTAGCCAATCTGTATTAGGCTGCAGCCAATCTGAAATTCCAGAGGAATTCAAGGCCCACAGTGCAAATATCTCAGACTGCTTACAGGGCAAGCAAAGTTTCAGAGGTACTGAAGTACTTGAAAGTACTGAAAATTATAAGGGGAGGACATTTATCATCTCCGCTTTGTTTTACAGCTAAGAAATAAATATAGGAAAGAGCTACAATTTAGCAAACTTGAAAAACTTCTATTTGGCTGAAAAAACAAAAACTGGTGTCTTAAGACCCAGAGTGATACTAAAGGTCAGCCTAAGAATATAGAGGAAAAGAAAAATACAACAAAGGAAGCAATATTGCACCCATACACAGAATATGCATGGAGACAAATGAGGTTAAGACAATGCAAACACTACATAAAAGGAAGACATATAAAAATAATACTGTTGAATTCTATAAAACAAAACTTTACTCCTAAATCTACATAGATTTAACATTATCAAAACTCTCTGAATAACAGTTGTTCAAAAATGAAGTTTGCAAGTCTAATTACCAGGTCATTTTACAGCATCTAATGATCTTTCCAATAAATGTGTCAGACCATTGAAAACATTGAAGCTTCACTGTGGTTGTCTGTAACTTGTTGATTTACACTATGATTAAACAGAAATGCCAAAAATGCTTCCACTTGTAAAGCAAACATGTTAATGTTTATGAAAAGGAATGAATTACCAGAAGAATGAGTTAGTTGATGAAACATATCAGAATGATGCAAAGTATGGAAAAGGAATATCAGTGATACTGTCAAAATTAATAAACAGCAAACATCCTGTACTTCATTCAATTAGCATTAAAACAGGTTTTCCACATGTAAAGAAATACCAAATTTTAGAAAACTTTGTAAAAAGTATCAATATTTAATTACTTTGTAATTACTTAAAAGACAGCATTTACTTTTCAACAAAATTTTATTAGGCTTACAAGCCAAGTGACTTGGAATAAATTACTCAACCTCTCTGGATTTCAATTTCCTTTTCTGTAAGATAGGAACAGTAACACTACCTCAGGGGATGTTATTAAGGATTCTGTGAAATAACCACATACAAAAGGACTCATGCATTTTAGGTACTTACAAATTATTAGTTCCTCATTCTATTAATTTGCTTTATAATAAAAACGATCGTCACAAATCATCTTACAAATTTACTTTAAAATTAATGAGTAGTTGAAATTCAGGAATATGGAGGATAATCACTTTTGCATACCTATTCCCCCCGAGGGAATCCTGCAGCAGTCTTGTCAGTTTAGAATCTCTATAGGGCACATGGGTGGCCCTCTTGCTCTTATCTCCCAGTGCACTTATTACATTGCCAAGTGCCAACTAAAACAGAGAGAGAGAAGAAAGTGATAAAATTTTAGTAATTATAACACCTTTAAATAAAAAAGCTTATAGAGAATAATGCAGAGACAGAACTGAGAACATCCATGTTTGGTTTTGTTTCACATTTTGAATTTTGAAAAATGAAGTATACTTCCAAGTTTTCTATATTAACTACTAAAAACTGACACCACTCAAAATTTAGACTATAATATACCTATAACTCACAAATACTTAAACTTCTACTCAGAGATTTTCTTTAAAAATAGAAATGTTATAAAATTGGTGACGAATAACCATCCCTAGAATTATAAGAGCATCAGGTTGTATCCCCAGAAAATTGTCAATTCATGTTTCAAGTTGTTCTCAACTCAATGAAGAAATGAAGTGTTTAGTTAGTTCAACAGATTCATGAAATGTTCTTATTGTAATATAGCTTCCTTATGGTAAAACAAAATCTTCTTTAACCATAACAAAAATATCAGTATGATTTCTCTGAACAAGGTGTTCCTAACACAAGTATAGCTGTCTTAAGAAATACAATGACTCTATGTGCTAAGCACCCAATATTTTAAAAGTAGGTCAAATTATTGAACTGTCTAGTCACACCTCCTGCCGCTCCTACTGTTTTTCTTACTGCACTAAAACTAAACTAGCACCTACAGCATAAGCACTATCCTCCACTTTGGTCACACCCGCCTTCAGTAAGTTAAGAGTAACTAAGTAAGTAAGTAAGTTATGGCAAAGAGCCATAACCATGTCTTTGTCAGGGCCAGTGGATCCTGCAGAGACCAACATCAGTATTACATTGAGTCTTAGAGGCCCTTTTCCAGAGAAGCTTTAGTTTTAACCACTGGCCACACTGGAACTCTACCAGATATATCTGAACATGCTTCAGTGGCCTAAACAGGAAAAGAGATCAACGACTTTTGTTTTTTCCTGACCCCACAAATGGCAATTCCACTATGTATTTATTTCCTAAGAAATTCAGATCAATACGCAAAGTCCAGGATCCAGGTGACTCTCTTTCACACAACATTCAACCATATGATGGAAGCATCAAGCTGGGTGTTGGGAGTTTGGAGGTCTGGCTGTCTTTACTCAGCCTTGGTTGTTAATTTCCACACCAAGGGGCTGCAATCACTAGCAAAATAGGACCATGTGATTGGAGTCCCCAGCTCTAGGAAGGGAGGGAAAGAAACAATGCAGAAAACACAGAACCCAATGCTGTCTACATCACAGAAATTTAGGGATGCTATTACATTTATACAGGAACAAATGTCCATTTTATAATGAAGTCAACAGGAAAAGATTTATTATACAAAAACCTGCCATTAAAACTTTTTCTTCCATATAACAAAAGCATTATGCTAGCACACACAAGGTGCTTTGCAACCAAAAACACCACTAGGTGGCATGGTATTAAAACTAATTCCTATATAATCTAGGGAAGTTCTCATTTTAAAAACAATCATTACTTTAAAAAAAATTGATTGTAATTCCCAAAATAAAGTGACTGTCATAAATGTTAGCAAAAACTTTAATACTGAATATTAAAATATTAATTTTGACAATAAATTTTTAAAGTTGGGAAGAATTAATTTTTTTTTTAATTTATTTATTTTTGAGAGACAGAGAGACAGAGCACAAGTGGGGGAGGGGCAGAGAGAGAGGGAGACACAGAATCAGAAGCAGGCTCCAGACTCTGAGCTGTCGGCAGAGACCCACATGGGGCTAGAACCCATCAACTGTGAGATCATGACCTGAGCCAAAGTCGGATGCTTAACGCTTAACCGACTGAGCCACCCAGGGGCCCCTAAAGGTGGGAAGAATTTTCAAAATCATTTTCACTATATGTATTCTTTTCTGCATATATGGCATAAAACTTAACCCCACTAAATTTACACACATGAAAATTAGCAATGTTTTTTTTTAATTTTTTTAAATCTTTTTTTAATGTTTATTTTCGAGAGAGAGAGAGAGAGCCTGAGTCAGGGAGGAGCAGAGAGAGAGAGAGAGAGAGAGAGAGAGAGAGAGAGAGAATCTGAAGCAGGCTCCAGGCTCTGAGCTGTCAGCACAGAGCCCAACATGGCGCTTGAACTCTCAAACTGTGAGATCATGACCCAAGTCGAAGTCAGACACTTAACTGACTGAGCCACCCAGGCGCCCTGAAAATTAGCAATGTTTTAAAGAAAGAAAGCTTATAATGTGAGGAGATCAGAATTCAGTACATTACTCCTAAGTTTATAAGTTTACTGTCACTTTCATTTCTCAGCTCAGTGCATGAAGGATTTCCACTTGGGTATTATGTATTACAAAAGGGGAAAGGACAATAGAAAAGCCCTGATATATTCTCAACACAAAGCTGTAGTCTCAGTCTTACAAGTCCACAGTTGATGGAAATGCCTTCTTTTGCCCTCTCGCCTGTAGCTCCAGTACGCTTCAGTCTTTCTGATCCTGCCAGATCAACAAAATGGAACTTTGCAGTCAAGGTTTCAAATTCATTCATCTGTGATGATTCAGAAATCACCTTATTGTCAGTCACATTTTCCTGCAATTGAGGAATATAATAAAAAATATTTTATTAATGTGACACTAAATATCCTCCAACCCCACCTTGCCCTCATTAAACATATTATATATTAAATAAGTTAAATATAAATATATCTCTAATACATATAATATTCAAAAATAGGCAAATACCCAAATAAATGTTAAGTGCAAAAAAAATCTACTGGCAATTAGAAGCCTAGACAAAGGTAGAAAGGAGCTTGACAATCAGAAACCAGCTGATACGAACTGAGGCTTTGTTTATGTTGATGAAGAGAAACCTGTAATACACAGTCCTCAAAAGGAAAGGGTCTCAGATGACTACATCCATCACCATAAAGCCACAGCTTGCTTTACGGTTGCTGCAGACACATACCAATTTTTTATTTCAAAATCTTACACAGTTGGCCAGCTTCAGTTTGAATAGGATCAAAGACATCTCATTAGGAAAAGGAACTATTAGGGGCGCCTGGGTGGCTCAGTCGGTTGAGTGTCTGACTTCAGCTCAAGTCATGATCTCGCGGTTTGTGAGTTCGAGCCCCACATCGGGCTTTGTGCTGACCACCCAGAGCCTGGAGACTGCTTCGGATTCTGTGTCTCCCTCTCTCTCTGCCCCTCCCCCACTCATGCTCTGTCTCTCTGTCTCGGAAAAAAATAAACATTAAAAAAAATTTTTTTTTAATTTAAAAAAATTTAAAAAAGGAAAGGAACGATTAGCCAAACTAAATTTGATTCAAGTGTACTCTCCTGGGATTTATGTGGATGTTTAGGAAAACGAAGCCTGCAAGCTTAAGAAATTAGAACTAAAAACTCACAGCATCTATCTGGGGACACATTCTGGTTTGACACAAGTGAATGGTAAATATGGCATGTGAACGTGAGCTCTGAACATTCATCTGGGTACTAGCAGTGGTCCGGGATAGAGCACCCAGTTTCAAACACTGCATCATCTGGAAAAGGGAAAGACAGATTTTATTTGAACAATCTTTAAACATGATACCATATGATCAGAAATCGGAGCTACTGTCCCAAACCTACCATATGATTTTCATATTATTTCAGTTACAGGCACTTTTTGAGCTGAACTTTATAGTATAATAGTGTATTATTTTTTTAATAGGAGAAAACACTGAGATTCCATTGTTTGTCATTTGCTGACATTTGCAGCTTCTATTCCAAAACTGTTACAGAAGAACACTTTGGGACAAACTGAGCAACAACTTGAATTATTTAGGCCCTTCTATATCCTCTCCTGAAATATTTTTTCTGTAATTTTTCTTAATAGTTTCCCTTTAGGAACCATGATATAGTCCTACATATGTAGCAACAAAAGCTACAAAAAAATTGGGGTCTCATTGTCCACCTTCAGTGATCTAACTCTCTTTCTCTGTCTGTGAAAGAAAACTTTCTCTGTCTTAGATTCTTTTGATGCTATGATAAATGTACTGACTTTACCATAGCCGTGACATTTTATATAATAAAATCCTGATATAAATTGGATATAAATATTGGAAAAGAAGACAAGACTTTAACTCCATATTACATATAAGGATACAAATTTCATATCCTGATCTTAAGCAAACTAGCAATAAAGTTGATATCAAATAAAATTAAATATGCTCTATTTTAACTTTAACATAAATGTCACCTCTGATTCTGTATTCACAGTACGTGTTGTGACTCCCACAGTATAAATTCCTCCAGTTGAATCTTCATGAATTCTTATATTTGATTTTTTATTTTTTGCATCAATATCACGAGTGGTATCAAATAAGTCAAGAACCTCTTCATTATATAGCTACAAAAAATATTATAAACTTAATTTCAGCAGAAATTGCCTCATGGTTATTAACATACAGTGCATATCTTTCAAACATATCTTAGAATGTCTTCATAATAACATCTCTCCAAAATAACACATAAAAATAATACAAATAAATAAATAAAATAAATATAATACAAACAAAAATTTGTGTTATTATTACAAATACAAATAAGTGCCAGATTTCCTTATAAGAGTAAGAAAAGTAAATGACTGAATCATGACTAATGAGTTGAAGACTAGCTAAAATGATCTATTAATCATTTGCAAAAGATAAACAAATATTTATAAATACAAGTAAACTTAGAAATACCAAATGCAGAAAAATCCTAAGCTTAGGGAAATTTTTAAGAATTTTTACTACTTCAGTTAAAAATATTTCCTGTTGCCCTACCACATTTCTTACTGTATCTAAAAATTAACACTTAGTATTTTTCCAAGGTCAGCAATATTAGTGTTTCTGTATTAATAGTGGCTAAGAAGACTGAACCACAACCTTAGAAGAGGATTCATACACGTACTTTTCTAATGATATGCTTAAAGTCACAATGCCTAACAACATTTTGGAGGGTGAAAGGGAAGACACAAGAACGCTATGTCTTTTTGTTTTCCACTATTTATTACCTTTCTTTTCGCAGAAATACATAATGTAAATAATTACATTATTCTTAGTTTTTACTAAATTGGGATGTCCATTAAAACCAGCAGTAAGATAACTGATGTTAAATTTGAATTACATTTTCTATTTTGTGCTATATAATGCTGAACAATTTAATTAATGATCAAAATGATTAGCTCAGGTAATCTAGACTAGAACTAGACTAGAACCCTCTTTGGACCGAGCACCTAGAATTATAATGTTGCCATCCACCTAACTGCAATAGTGCTCAAATCCTAGATGTCCTCTTACTGTCGTGTCCCTCCCACCACACTAGACTGCCTTAAATTAATCAAAACCTGCCCCAATCTGTGGACATCCTAGCAGGAATACCAGCTTTTGCAGCCCAGCTAGTGCTACAGCCTGAATTCACTATTCCACACACATTCCCTCCTTTTTAGTCACTGAGTTCCCAGAGCTTTGTGAGCCTACCTACAGTATAACAGTAATTATAAGATAGAGTCTGAAATAAACAATATTAATTGTTTTATTGTATGAACACTGGTCAAGTGTTTATAATTTTTAATACTAACATGAATACTTATTACTTATTATCTATTGTTACTACTACCTATTACTACTACCTATTAGTTTACTCAGATGTCATTTATCAAGCACTAAGTGTCAAATACTATACTACAAACTGGGAGTATAAAATCATAAGGGCTATGGTCTTAAGGATAAGATGTAAAAGGAAACTAATGACACACTTAGATTATTACCTCTAAGAATTGGGAATTCACTTTAAAATCTGGAGGAGGAAGCCCGTTTTTAATTGCAGTGTGTTTTTTTTCTTCAATACTCTTGAAAAGGTGTTTAACAGCACGAGAAATAATACCCTGTTCTTCCTCGATGATGTTAACATCAAATCCTGTTCCCATTGTGTATGTTTTCCCAGCTCCAGTCTGAATAAAAGAATAGAACAAAGAAAAATGCATGCTTAGTGTAATAATATAACTTAAAGAAACAAAACTAAAAACGCAACTGAACTGACACTTCTGCGAAGTTATAGCTTCTATGAAAATAATTTGGTACTTACCTGTCCATAGGCAAAAACTGTAGCATTGTATCCTTCAAAACAACCTTCAATTAGTTTTTCTATACATTGAGTATAGATCTGCTCTTGCTGAGAGTCAATGTCAAACACATAATCAAAAGTAAAAGCTTTATCTTTCCCTAGGAAGACCTGAGGTTCTCCTGGTGTGACAGATGTACAAATATGGCATCCTTCAATCTTCTCTTTGGCAAGTTGTGGTCTTATTCTGTGAGAAATAATCAGAAAAAAAAATTAATTAAAATGAATTGGAAAAAAAACTGGAAAAAAAAGGACTTAAAAATTCTTAGCCAAATCATTTTTTTTATTTTATTTTATTTTATTTTATTTTATTTTATTTTATTTTATTTTATTTTATTTTATTTTATTTTATTTTATTTATTTTTTGAGAAAGAGAGAGAGACAGAGCACAAGTGAGGGAGTGCAGACAAGGAGACACAGGATCTGAAGCAGGACATGATCTGTCTGTGCTAACAGCTCAGAGACTGACACAGAGTTCAAACTCTCGAACTGGGAGATAATGACCTGAGCCAAAATTGGACGCTTAACCCGCTGAGCCACCCAGGCGCCCCTAGCCAAATATTTTTAAAACACTAATGTAATCTACTACTGTTCCTTCCGTTGAAAAGTTTAAATAAATTAAATTATACTGAGTCTATTTCAGAATGAGTTACTTGACAATCCCCAAAAATCATGAACAAGAATAAAATTAATCTTAAAATTAAATACTTTTGTGGGTGAACACTTTTCCATAACTCTGTAATAGGTAAAGAATCAGTTAAATAAATTCTGCCTCCAAAATGCTGTGTCTTGTTGTTTTTGTTTTAAATTTCTTCTCTTTATTTCCAGGGAAGACAATACCCAAAATTGAAAAATTAAAAATATAATCTTTATCTTGATGCCCTTGACTTGTCTTTTTTGCAAATTCCTCACCAATGGTTTCCAAACTTATTTAACCACTTCCTTCTGTCAGCTTAACATCCTGAAGCACACTCCCACAACATATATGTATATATATTCATAATAAATGATATGTATGTACTGTATTGATATATCATGTATTATGATATACACAAAAGCAGAATTTTGTAAAGACAGAAATTAAAAAGGAATACAAAGAGAAGTTCCACTTTCTTCTTTCCAAAACCCAGTGAATCATCAAGCACATCTCCTAGGGTATCCTCCCACTATTGGGAAAACCACAGCAGTATACCCAACCTACACCCACCCCCATCTGCTCCAGATTCTAGGACCCTCCTCTTCTGCTTCTCTTTCTGATTTCAAGGCCTATTTTCAAAGAAGAAAAGTAAAGATATTGATATGTTGCTAACAGAACAAACCAAAATATGGCCCTATTATATTTAATCAATAAAAGGGACTATCTTGGACATATACATCACTCACTGTACCTAGGTTTTTTAAAAGGTTCCTATTTGCCATGATGAAAGAGAAGCAGTTTAAGGAGAAAGTAAAGACAACCAGCAATGGAAAACATAAAATGATAAAGACAGACCAAAGAAAGGATTTTAAAGGAATCTGGTTCCACATTCTTATTTTTTGAGATCTGAGTTTGTTTTTGTTTTTTTTTAAAATGGGGTCAATAGAAGTGAAATGGGTTCATCAATTTATTAGATAGAAATAAAACAAAACATAAGTCCAGATTGCCTAAATTTTAACCCTTTCAGGTTCATCAGGATAGAAGGTCAATGGAATGATAGGGAAGATAATAATGAGAAGGGACTGAATTTCTGCAACCTTGGTTATCTAAAATAGAATTCCATACTACAAAAAAAAATGTGCTAACAATATATTTATATATTTTTTTTCTTTCCTCTGTGATAATGCTATTCTTCTTTCATCAAGTCTTCAATTTCACTTATTTGTTTTAATGGAACACAATAATCAACATGGAGCTGGCTAGATACTGTAGAAAGAACAAGAGAGTAGCCATTAGAAGATCTGGATTTAACTACTTCTGTCACTCCACAGCTATCATGCAGTCTTTCTCTCAGAGCTTCAATTTCCTCACCTGGGATAGAAACTATAATTTCCAAGGTTTCTTTTAGATCTAACACTATTTGGCTGCAGGATACTGTATTATTAAAAAGGGGGAAAGGAAAATAATATTTATGTACTGCTATAAAAATAAAATGATATAACAAATTAAAAAGGGGTTTCTTACATGAAGCGACAACCAAAAACAGCTAATGTAGTAGTAGCTTTGGCTTCCTGGTTCCATGTTTTCTTGATGAGTGGTCTCTTCTTTCCAAACTCTTTTTTTCCTATCTTACTTCATCCAATCATGGTATGAAAACTGTAACAAAATCCCCAACCTCCGGGGCGCCTGGGTGGCTCAGTCGGTTAAGCGGCCGACTTCGGCTCAGGTCATGATCTCGCAGTCCGTGAGTTCGAGCCCCGCGTCGGGCTCTGGGCTGACAGCTCAGAGCCTGGAGCCTGTTTCAGATTCTGTGTCTCCCTCTCTCTGACCCTCCCCCGTTCATGCTCTGTCTCTCTCTGTCTCAAAAATAAATAAATGTTAAAAAAAAAATTAAAAAAAAAAAAAAAATCCCCAACCTCCTTGGGAGAATCACCATCCTGACTGCTGCCAAGCTAAAAACAGGAGAGTCAACCTCAATTACTCTCCCTTTCCTATTCCATCTACTTAATTGATCTCCAAGAACTATTAATTATCTCTGAAATAGTCAAGAGCCCACCAATTTCTTTCCTTCCCCATCAACACCACCATTATCTCTTACTTGGATTATTGCAAGTCTCCTCACTAGCCTGCCTATGTCAATTCTTTCCCCCACCAATCTGTTCTACATGTTGCAGTATCAGTGATATTTGTAAAATATGAAGTTGATCAGGTCACTACCTTGCTTAAAATCATTCAGTACATCCCTAAATCCCTCTGCGGTCTCTCCTCTTGCCATGCTTCATCTCTGAAATAAAGGATTTGGTTGTAGATAGTGGTGGCAGTGATGGCTTATTTTTAACCAGTTTTACTAACAAGCTATGCTCTCTCTACCTTCAAATATACTGCTCTCTTCTCCTGGACACTTCCCCAGCCTCTCAATTCCTAACTCCTTTTCCAGCCTGAACATCACACGTTTTCAGTCTCTATTTAAATTTCACATCTTTGGAAAGCTCTTGCTCCTTGCATTCCAACATAAAGTCATACGTGAACACAGGCTTTCTCTCTAGACCTCATGCCCCCAGGACTCTGCTCTCTCCCTTCTTTATAGCAGTTCTGTGAAGCTTAACAAATCCCATGTAATAAAACAGATAAAAATAAACACAAACTGTCTAAATCAAAATGAGCACTGGGCTACTATCTGAAATCAGTGCCTCATTAATTTTAAGTAAATTATTATAACCATAGGCTAATTTATTTGGCTATTAAGATACTTTTAATTTCATTTTAACATAACAAAGGAATGTAATGCTATTTGAATTGCAGATATGACAGCCAATTTTAGAATGTCAATACCATTCAGAACTTAATCTCCTAAACTCTATTCATCTGATTCTTATCCTTGCTAATGGCAAGGAGGATTGTGTTTGAAGCATGAGTGATGTGCAGTTCCACCCATTTGCATGGGAGGGGAGAGTGGTTTTAAAAACCACCAAGTTGGGTGGAATTCTTTTCAGCTGGATCCAGGCAAATGGCAGTTTCCTGGCAAGTCTGAGAAACTCCCACCTAGAAGGGGATAGTCTCCTACACATGTAGACAATTGGAGGTTGACTATACTTCAAAGGTTAGAAATATATTCAATCTTTCAATTCCCCTTCAGATATTAGTATTTTAAACTCTACAACTCCCTAAATTTATACTCAAGTCAAGAATTCTCCCATGAAGTTCTAACCCATGCCAATTCACCTACTTTAATAATGTGAAGAGTTTGAAATTTACCCAGCTACAAATTTCAATCTCAAAACTGTAATTTGAAATTATATATAAACAAAATATATCAACCCTTCTGGGAAATAACAGACTAAAAACAGAATCTGACATTTATTAAATATTTTGAAATGCCTCCTTTCTTAGTATTTTTATATAAAAATAAGAACATTAAACACATTCATCTAATCCCAACACTAAGACATAATCAGTGTTAACATTTTGGTTAACATTAACACTAAGAAATAGTAACAAGGCCTTGCAGGTTTTCAAAATGTGTATTATATAAGTAGATAACATTTGAAACTGCTTCTTAAAGAAAAACAATTATGCATAAAACCTATGTCATAAATACTTAGAGTAAGATATTCTCATAGTATATAGCAACATTATATTATAAAGACCAACAATCATGTGGGTTCTACCTATAATATTAATTTGCTAATAGAGATGATCTATCTCTATTTAGGTTTTTTGAAAAAATGATGCATTGGAAATGAATGTAGGCAGAGTAAGGCAATTATGGAAAATAGTTACAGTTTTGCTAGAGAATGTGCTTTTTTTCTTAGCATGAGGTACAGACCCTTTATCCTTTGTGGACCAATGACCAATGGGTGGGTCTGAAAGGGAAAACCCATGAAGAGCCATATAGAAAACAGAAAAGTAATTTATTGTACCTAGTTGTAAAAATTCAAGGCTTGAAACAGAATATGATACAAATGTTCATTATTTAGTTTTAAGATAAAAGTACATGAACAAATATCTCCATTTTCCCACATCTAAATTTTTCCCTTGACATACAGTTGCCTTTAGCTTCTGCTCTCACACTCTCCTGAAACTGCTCAGAAAGAGGTACTTTTCATTTCTAAATAAAGTGGACCCTTTTTAGTCTTCATCCTACCTCACCTCTCTTCAACATTTGACCCTATTTACAACTTGCAGGGGAGGAAAAAAAATTTTCCCTCTATCCTCTTAGGTTCTACTGGCTGCAGTCCTGTAAATTAGACTGAGAAAAGACTACTCCCCTTGGTAGTTACCAAAGGGAAAACAAACAAGTTTATTTACATATCTATTATGCATACACATGGAAATAGTGATGAATAATTCAAAGAGTGGTTAGAACTTGGACTTATATAGCATATTAACAGAGGAAAAAGGACTGAGTTTCTAGGACAGCAAACAGTGGGAGAGTATGAAGAAACTAATGGAAGATAAGGGCTAACTAGCTAAGTTTGTTATGTAGGCTCCTGTGCTACCATTTCTAGTGACTAACTTTGGTCCTCCCTGTTCCAGAGGGGTGGGGGAAA